ATGTTGTCCAAGGTTTCGTTAAGGAAATATTAAGCGAAAACCCCGACCAATCAGAGCGCGAGTATGCCGGTTGAGCGTATGCTACGTGCTAGGCGGCCGCGCTCATACGCTACTGCGGGCGCTCCAACGGTATACGCGCGCTCTGATTGGTCTGGGTTTTTTTGTTAATATCTGCTTAACGAAGTTTCGGACAACATTTTCGCTAAGGGAAAAGTTGTTTGAAATTACCTCCCGAACCACCCCTTTCAAGGTGTTGCAATATTTTTGGGACACCCTGTATATATCCTGCCTCATTTTGATAGATATATGGTATATATTTTAATTCTAGAAGGTATTGTGATCATAAAACGTAATTGTAACATATAAAGTAACTTACAGAATACAAAAACTTGTAGAAACATGATTATATCGATGACAACAAAATGTAAAGTAAAATTTCGATTATTTCTTAAAAATTTGTCATTTTACACAATTTATGTATAACTTAATATTGAATAAATGGAATCCTAGTTGTAGGATGTAAATATATTAGGTACGTCCTGTATATCTGTGTAACCAACCACACTCTGGTACTAAACGTTTAAAATATAAAGCAGTATTAAATTAGTATCCGTCAAATAAATTGCTATGTGTATAAATTAGTTTTATTCTTGATCTATTTGAATGAAATTTCGCGATTTGGTGCACGACGGGCTCATCTTCGCCAGGAGAAAGTTACTTGCGGTAATTATTATTGTCGGGTCTTCTGGGACCAACGACTCGTCACTTTTTTAAGTGTACAGTAACCCACGTTTACGGATGAGCGCGATTCATGGTTCTCGAGGATGTCGACGACGTCGTAGAATTTTTTATACCTCTTGCGCATTTCTTTGTTGGCTCTACGACCGTAGTCGTTCTTCGAGAAATCATAAATATAAAAGTCACAAATAAACTTTATTTGTGTTATGATGTCTATATTATTGATGTTTTTTATGTTGTTCTCAAGTGTAAACAATTTTTTGTGTCAAATTTATTTTGCCATTACTTAGTAGCGATGAAAATACTAATTATCCAATTTTTCTTTAATAACTACTCGCAACTCTCGTGTTTTCAGGATCAAAAGAAACGAGTTTAATTACGATAAATGTTCGATTATGTAGTCTTCGATAGTCTAAATAATATTTAATCCTAGCAGAAATTTTCAAGAATATTTGTGTGGCAGTCATCGTGTTAAAATTCGTTCCTCGGGAGATTAATACTTCCGGGAAAATCACAGAAAAGTACAGTCAGAAATTCCCCGACTCCAGCGTTAAACTGTTTTATTGACCGTGTAGATCTTTTTCCAGCAATCTTATCGTACCGTTGATGCATTTATTATACACATTCGATTTCAAATGAAGTCAAGTGGTCTACGAACTCTTGGTTCGTAATCGTTGGTCACTTGAAACCTTGCTTGGTTAACACATTGACTGCTAGAGTAACACTTGTGAAAAATATGGCCCTAACACTTCGTTTCTATACAACTGAAACTTATTTTTATTGAATTTAAATTTGTTACAGTTTAGACAAATTCACGAATTCTATGCAGATTTATTTCTTTATTTTCTCATCTTCAGAATTAATTTATTTAATTCTTCAACGGAAAGACCTGTCACCCATGGGTAATATTACCAACAGAGTATTACAACTAACACTCTATACTGAACTATCGGAATGCTACCACATGAAAGAGTTAATTACTATCGATGTTTGCACGATCAAGTTGTCATTAATAACGACACATTTATATCGTCTGTGATTGGCATCGTGGCATTTGCATGCGCACAGTATTTATTATAATCAGTCTAATGCTTTATCTCTGACAGTGAAGGATTATTTATATTCACAATTAATCTGCAGAGGTCTCTTACCAGTAGAAGAAATAGTACTCGATTCTTTATTTTTAGTCGATGTGATTGAGTGGACAAATCTTTTATAAACAGCAATGTTTATGTACATGTACACATATGTATACATACACATTATGAAATTAAGCGAGCGACAAAATTTGAAATAATTATGAAACTCAGGGCCGGCGTTGGAGGGGGGGGGGGGGTCGGGTAACAGCCCGGGGCGCCAGATTTTTGGGAGCGTCAAACAACTTTTACCTTAGCGAAAATATTGTCCGAAACTTCGTTAAGCAGATATTAACAAAAAAACCCAGACCAATCAGAGCGCGCGTATACCGTTGGAGCGCCCGCGGTAGCGTATGAGCGCGGCCGCCTAGCACGTAGCATACGCTCAACCGGCATACTCGCGCTCTGATTGGTCGGGGTTTTCGCTTAATATCTCCTTAACGAAACCTTGGACAACATTTTCGCTAAGGAAAAAGTTGTTTGAAATCATCTCCTGAACCACCCCTTTCAACGTGTTACAACATTTTTGGAACACCCTGTATATATCCCTGAATGGGCGCCACGATAATCTTGTCCGGGGTGCCAATATTGCTAAAACCGGCCCTGATGAAACACATATTTAAAGATGATTTCTAACAAGAAATGTCGTTTTATTTCATGTATATAATTTGCATACATAATTGAGATATTCAATCGAGAACCTACCGCTTAGTATTACAGATACGAGGAAAATGCCGTTGTTTACATCCACATCCTGTTACATTTTGAATACCAGGAATTCCACATTGCTTACCAAGCTTCGAAAAAAAAATACTTAAAGTAGTTGTTTCGAAATGATCACGTTCAAAAATATAATTGAAAATTTGTGTAAAGGTACAGTCTTCCTGCTCTCACACACGTCCATAATAAATTAATACATACATCTGCACATACATTCGTAATAATCGACGAATAGAGAAGTTTCAGATTTTAATTAATTATATCTCAGTAACGGTTCGATCAATAAATAATTGTTATTATTGTTATGTAGTTTGTAAATGACGTTTGATCTTTTAATAAATGGAAGTCTGTATGTTCCATAAGAGGGTCCGTTCAAATTATTAAATTTTTATATCATTTTTCATAAAACTGGAGCGGTCAGTAATTGTTATCTTTTTTTAAATGGCACATAACTTCAGTCTTTTACAACATAACAAATTTTCAGCAACTTTCTGAATTGCATTTTCATTTAAATTGAAAAAATTCACAGTGAAAATCTGAGTCTTCCATTTAAGGGCGTTAAAATAACAATATCTTAATATCGTGTTTCGTAAAACCGTCATGGTCGATTTAAATAAAAATAGGCTCGTACGATTCATATTTGATCCAGCAACAATCAAGTGAAGTTTCATTCGAATCTTCCATTAAATAAATCCATCAAACAACTACGTTAACTTATCTATTACAATTCCCTCAAATTTCTATAATGGACATTGTCTCATTGTCAGACTGCAAGCGCGATGTCAGGATGCACTTAGAATGTGCAGCAAGATCGAATAATTGTTTGGTAAAATTATTGCCGCTCCTCCAGCCAGATGAACGCCGTCCAAAGTCCAAGGTTATATAAGAGAAGCGTACGAGCGGTAATTCAGTCCTGACCATGGGTGAGAGGAGGCCCCTTACGCGGTTTGTCCCCCTTTACGCGTCCTATTATGTTGCGTCGCGCTTGCATTACACGCACATTATATACACAGAGCAACTGTCACTTATCTTACACCTAGTGGTTTCATCGATTTCTCTCTATCACATGAAAATTGCATTTAACCACTTAGTGCTGAATACTCTTGACCAAACGTATGTACTATGTATGTATTATATACATATCTATGTATTAATGTATAAATGTCAGTATATCAGTTTCATTTCTCAATTTTTCTTATTCCAGTTATTTACTACTATCTATGCTTGTTTCTTACATCTACATATGTTTATTAAGGTGTTCGATCATAAATTAGTTATTACACTGGTTCTATGCGTCAATCTTATAGTCCATTGGCCAACTTTTCTTATTCCAATTACTTACTACTATATATGTTTGTTTCTTACATCTACATATGTTTATTAAGATGTTCGACCATAACTTAGTTATTACACTGATTCTATGCACCAGTCATAGTACATTTGTCACTTTTTCTTATACTAGGAACTTACTACTATTCAGATTTATTTCTTCTATCTATATGTTGCAATAAAAGCATCATACAAAAATATATTTTCTTTCTATTTCTTTCTTACTAATTATATAAAATTTTGTATACACTTCTGGCTAAATTAATGGCTGTAGAGTACATGTTTTCCTAGTGCGAACTCTTTCAATTGAATGTACATGATGACATTAACTTATAGTTGTAATCCTTTTACATCAAATTTTATAATACAAGAAAATTATTTTTGTAATATATAATTGTGTGATAGTTGTGTCTGATAGCTTTCTCTGAATGCATTCCCAGCACTCAAATGGTTAAATAATCAAAACCTGCACACAGGCACTCCTTTAATACTTAACATTATAATTAGATGTTTTTAAATTTCAGATTTGTAGTTGATAATCTATGACATGGCGGAAGCTCACGCAGCTGTAGCATTTAGTTTTTCTATTACTCACGAAGGATGGGATGTCAACTTCGACAGGGAAGTTCTAAACTTGGTATGGAAATCGGGTGTCCGTTCCTGGAAAAAGAGACTTTTCAAGTTTCTTGTAAGTAAATATTATAAATATTGTGTCTTTTGAAAAGCGAGAGTCTTAAAGGATGATAAATGATTTCAGAACAACCTGAGAAGCGGAATCTATCCTGCTTCTTTACAGAGCTTATGGTTCACTGTAGCTATAGTGATTGCTGTACATTTTACAGGATACAAGGTACCTTACGATCTTGTTGGGAAAACTGCGCCGTACCTCTCAGGGTAAATTTAATTAATACTGTAACTGTAAACTGTAATTACTGTGTATAACATTTGTAGTTTGTACAGTAATTGTATAGAGTCTATCAAAAATTTTTCAACACCACTTTTTATGTATTTCCGGTAGTTCAATTAAAAAATCTTTCTGTCAAATGTTTATCAGTATTTAGCGAGCTATATGTTCGCATATTCTTAAATCTGAAAAAATGTCTTTTACGTAAAAAAGTAAAGGTCACCTTGGCATTTTTAAATGGCATCATACATTTTGGACATCATAGGGTCATTGCTGACGTCGAGACGAATTCACCAGTGTATTACACTATGACCTTGAAATTACCTTTTTAATTGCACCACCGGATATACCTAAAAAATGGGGTCGAAACATTTTTGGTAGATCCTGCATATTGTCATCAATTATTTCCTTTTTTTGTATCAATAGATCTTGGATACTAGCACATTTGGCAGGATGCTTCGTAGTTGGACTTCTCTTATGGCTGGTAGTGATATACGCAATTCGATACACCTTGAAATTATTGCTTATATACAAAGGATGGATGTATGAATCGCGAGAGAAAGGAACTACAGTCTCAAAAAGTACCAGAATCTGGACTTCGTTGGTAAAGCTGCTCCTTGGATGGCACAAACCCATGCTGTACAGTTTTCAAGGATCCTTGCCACGACTACCATTACCCTCTGTGGAAGATACTATGAAACGGGTTAGATTATGAAATCATTTATAATTTTATGTTTAACTACCAGACTATGAAGTACTTTATAAGTTTATAATTTTAACTACCAGACTAATAACTATGAAAATTCCTACAGTTAAAATTGTGTTTCTATACAATCAAAAATAATATAATCTAACATTTGTAGTAGAACTCATTTTTGCAATCTCTTTAAAATTCATCAATGCTACATTTATTTTCTTTAACACCTCACCTTCAAGATTAATATATTTAATTCTTTAGTAAAAATCCTTGTCACCTACACATAGGGGATGTAACACCCAAGTGTTAAGACTTTCAATTTGTCTCCTTTTGCTTTGTTCTATTGCTTGTTACTTTTGTTCTACGATAATAAAGCCAAATTACAAATTTTTTGTTGAATACTAATCCAAACATTTATTTAAACAGTATCTACGAAGTGTACGGCCATTATTGGATGATGCAAATTATGCTCGCATGGAAACATTGGCGAATGAGTTTCAAAATGGCATTGGAGTGAAACTTCAGCGTTACTTAATTTTAAAATCTTGGTGGGCCACTAATTATGTCTCCGATTGGTGGGAAGAGTACGTCTACCTGCGTGGAAGATCTCCCATCATGGTGAACTCAAACTTTTACGGCGTCGATGCTATTCTCATGTATCCAAGTACTGTACAAGTTGCTCGTGCTGCAACCGTTGTTTATTCATGCTTGCAATACAGACGTCTCATCGAACGACAAGAATTAGAACCAGTTAGTAACCAAGTCTTTTTTATAAAATATTCATTTTATTTTCAGACTTTTTTCTCATTTATTTCTTGGTAGAGTTTACCACATAAATACGTAGAGATTTTGCTTAACATTACGCTTAACGATTACAATAACACAAGTTGGAAAATTTCACCCGTTTCTTAAATATATTAAAATTAGCAATAATCATTTTAGACATAATCGTCTCAGAATAGTGCAACAAAAAGTAAAAATACTGAGGCAATATTACTTTCATTTTTAGATTTTGATTCAGGGACTCGTACCTTTGTGTTCGTGGCAATACGAAAGAGTATTTAATACTACAAGAGTGCCTGGGCGCGAGACTGATAAACTTGTGCATTATGAGGACTCTAAACACATCGTTGTGTATCATAAGGGCAAATACTTCAAAGTTCTTATTTATCACAACAACAGAATTCTTCAACCTTGTGAAATAGAAGTGTAAGTTGAATATAACTGTATTTCTATATTGTAATTCTAATTAATTTGCTGGATAAGTATACCTTCAGTAGAACAGTTCAATGTTTGTGCATGCGTAAATGTACGTAAGTACATAACTTTGGGTAAGAAGTACATAAGTATACTTCAATAGAACAGTTCGATTTTTATGTCATACTTTATATGTATACTGATTTTTACCATGATCAATAGTTGAATCACTTAATATTGAATCAATTTTAATTAGTCTGGAAACATTTAGAAATGAATGTAATATTTAAAAGTTTAAAGAAATTTATTGATAATTATGTAACGAGTCATGTATATTGCAGTCAAATGCAGCAAATATTAGATGACAAATCAGAACCAGCGAATGGCGAAGTAAAGTTAGCTGCCTTAACAGCTGGCGAGAGAACAGCATGGGCAGAAGCTAGAGAAGAATATTTTGCGAAAGGAGTGAATAAGGCTTCCTTGGATCTTATTGAAAAATCAGCATTCGTACTTGTATTAGACGATGAACCATACATATATGATCCAGTAAGTCATAATAATTACAATAAACTTTATTCGTAAGTTAATAATACATTTATGTATAATGTTTATATATATTTTCGCTTTTAGGCAAATCCAGAAAAATTAGACCAGTATGGTCGAATTCTATTGCATGGCAACGGATATAACAGGTGGTTCGACAAATCATTTACTTTGTGTGTAGGCAGCAATGGCAGAGTAAGTGGTATATTATTATGTATATTACTTTATTGTAGTATATTCTATGGTTTTTTAAAATATTTTTCAATATTTTACAGATTGGTTTCAATGCTGAACACTCGTGGTGAGTTTTTTCATATGAAAGTATTAACTCCCTCCTGTCGAAGGAGTTAAAAATTATAAAATGAAGTCAATCTTATTTAAAAATATAATGAATAAGACAAGAAAATGGTTAGGAAATAGAAATATCACATTACAACTTGCATGTCATGAAATTTAAATGCATTATTTCATTAAAAGGATGCGAACACGACACATTTTTCGCAATAAACATGCAAGATCTTTATTATATTATTTCTGTCTATAGTTGTGAAGAAGTAAAATATATAAATTCGTTATTGATGTTAAAGGCAGATAAAAATACTATTCTATTAATCAAAATGTAATATAGTATGTTAGAACAAGTACGTTATTAACAAATATTTTAGAGTAGCAATAAATTACGTTAAAATCAATACATAATGAGAAGTAATGAGTAGGGCAGATGCTGCAGTGATGTCACATTTGTGGGAGTACATGCTGTCTCAAGAAATCGTCGATAGAGCGTAAGAATTCAAGTTCACAGTTTCGAATGTGCTAAATTTCTTATTCTTCGTTGTTTCTTCTAGTTCTCTTAGCTTCTTCAGCAAGCCTACGAAAAAAGTGCTTTACTATAAATCATGTATTAACTTCTGGAGGGTAGCGGTGTATACAAAGTGTCTCTAACCTAACGTTTGAATCTTAAATATTTCATGAGTTTTTTTGTAATATGGAAAAATGGTAGAGGAAACATTGCTAAACATACTATAATAGACAAGAAAGTTATCTCAAGGTCATATTTCTCGAAATTTCAAAGTCATCAATGTTTTTTTTAAGTGGAATGGGGTATTTGTAATATTGTAGTCTTGTAATTGATAGAAAAAAAAAACAAATTCAAGCATGTAAAATAATATGTTTACTTTCAGATGACGTTGTGAGGAATTATTCTTATACAATCATATTCCAATGCACGCAGTCAACATATCATACATGTTTGAATTTGTCTTTCTATCAGTTACAAAATAACAATGATGAAACTACCTCAACCTATTTGAAAAAAAAGGCCGGTTGCCTTGAAATCTCGGAAAATATCACCTTCAAATAATTGTAGTAGTAAGTTTATTAATTTTAGCCTTTCGGCCCAGAAATTGGACTTGGTTTTTACATATTCTATACTCACACATCCATCCATTCATCCTGTGTTGGATTGTTTTGTCTATCATAGTATGTCTTCCTCCAAAGCAAACAAAGTTTTCCTCTAACATTTGTTTCTATCACAATAACCAACCAAAGTATTTAAGATACAAGAGTCATCTTGTATATAATTTTCTTTAAACAGAAAACAATGTATACTAAACAATACTACTCGAAACTATACAACTTTGAGGATCTACAAATGTAAATTCTGCCAATTCTCTACCAACTCTTTGTTTTTTTATGGAAATAATTTGAATAATTCTTTTTTTTGTACAATGTGCTTATTAGGGCTGATGCTCCTATTATGGGAACTCTGTGGGAATATGTTATCGCTAATGACATGCAAATGGGGTAATTGTTTCTTATGTTTTTCATTTTTCTAATAAAACATTTTCCTTTGTTATAGTTTTCCTTGTTGAACTAACTTTTACATTAGAAATACTGCTTGTTGTGTAATTTAACCTGCATCTGTTGTATTGCGTACTAACATTTCACCATTTATACAGGGTGGAGCAGCTACTTGTTACTAAGATATATTGAAACTGTTGTATCAATACAACAGTTCGAGCATTATCGTTCTGTAACTGGTTAACTGCTCCATCCTGTATACGTTTCTGTACATATACACATTTTTCTGCAACATATTACAGATACTTAGAAGATGGACATACCAAAGGTGTACCAGAGTTCACACCTCCTGCTCCTACTCGCCTCAAATGGGATTTAACTCCAAACTGTATAGCTGCTATCGAAGACTCATATAAAGTAATGTCTAATCCATTGAAATATGTTTTTTAATACGTTTCGAAATATTTTAGACCTTTTAATTACTTTTTGCAATTAAAAGTAATTTAAAAACAAATTTTAATTGTTACACTTAATAAAATATTTCTCGTATTATGTTACCACCATAAAACTCATTAAAATAAAATGTATTTTTCATTTAATTTACTTTATGTAACTTACAAAACGTTTTACTAAATAATACTCTTAATTATCAGGTTGCACAGACGTTATTAAACGATGTTGAACTACGCATTTATGAGCACAATGCATACGGTAAAGGTTTCGTTAAGAAGAATTCCATGTCGCCCGATGCTTACATACAAATGGCTCTTCAGCTGGCGTATTACCGTGATTCTAATAAATTTAATTTGACTTACGAAGCTTCTATGACCAGATTGTTCCGAGAAGGAAGAACAGAAACAGTCAGACCATGTACAATTGAGTCTACAGAGTGGGTGAAGGCTATGGAGAATAAGGAAGCAACTGTAAGTAACAAAAGATAAATTAATAGTAAACTTTAGGTCTTATATTTTTAATTTCATGTAGTGAAAATTATTTTTAAAATCTTTTTAAAAATAATTACAGTAGTCATGTCACAGTCTTACATTTAAATTCTATTTAAATTCATGTTATATTCTCAAATAATACTTTCATTATAGGTAGATCATAAGTATAAATTACTGATGGCTGCAGCAAAACAACACCAAAAGGGTTATCAAGATGCCATGTGTGGCAAAGGAATAGATAGACACCTGTTTTGTTTATACGTAGTGTCTAAATATTTAGAAGTGGATTCTCCCTTCCTAAAGGTAATGTTCTTTAAATGATCATTTAACGTGACATGTTAGAGAAATGTTTTTAACAGTTGTTCTCTTTCTCAGGAGGTTTTAAGCGAACCGTGGAAGTTGTCTACTTCGCAAACTCCACACGGTCAGACGTCGTTAATAGATATGAAGAAACATCCAAATTGTATTTCTGCAGGAGGTGGCTTTGGGCCTGTGGCAGACGATGGTTATGGTGTTTCTTACATCATCGCTGGAGAAAATCGTATATTCTTTCATGTCTCTTGCAAACTTAGTTCTCCTAAAACGGTGAGACCATAAACTAAAGTATCAAATTACTTTAATGGATCATTTCAAGGGAAATGGGTAATATAGTGCAGTCTTTCGTGATACTTCATTAAACATATCTCAAAGGATTTTTCAAAATTTTAAAAGTTATGGATTGTACAGGTGTTTGAAAATTAGTTATTTTCTCAGTTATACATTTTTTTCAAAATTGTAGCTCTTGAACTAATAGACTGATGAGAATGGGCCTTTGGGAGCTTATACAAAAGCTTATACACAGCTTATAAAATAAAAGAGGTTGGAAATGACGTACCCACCGAGATCGCAAAAAAAAACACTTTTTAAACCATTTCAGTTTTTAACCCCTGAGGGGGAGGGGGAGGGGAGTTAAGGATTAAAATGACCACCATTCTAATCGCCAGGTCAAGGGCTACCTATGATAAAAAAAGTTAGCCTGATCGGAGAGTACCCCATTTACTTAACCTCGACCGACTATTGCATGCTTATCTACGTAATTTTAATTGAAATTTACCCTAAAATTCTAATCTAACTTTCCTTGTACTTGCTTTTAGAACGCTGCCAGATTTGCAAAACAAATAGAGAGGGCATTAGCAGATTTAAAGACTTTGTTCCTCGAGAAAAACAAGCAACAAGCTCCGAAGAATGGAGCTCTGTAATTATAACATGAGAAGAGAAACTACGACCATTATATTTTAGTAGAAACTTAAGACACTGAATACTTTTTCCAAAAGTGTTCGAAAGAGAAGATTCACTCGCTTATAGAGCACCATTTATTCATATTTTGCTTAAACATGTTTTAAACGCGACACTTTAAAATAGTACAAACAAAAAGAGCCAAGTAATGTAATTCATCAAACTTTTTTCATCGATTTACTCGCGATATCTAAGTAATTTTATAAATAAAAAATTTATATTTTATATTCTTTAGTATTGTACATTAAACGACAAAACGCACAAAATCGAGCTATGCCAATTTTTATATGGATATTTGTACAAGATATTTCGAAATGATATAATAATTGTCAATTATAGCAATTAAAGAGCTCGTTAAAAATTTCAGAAATATTTAGCACGTATTGAATACTTTTGCTCTCAGGTACTTTCTTCCCCAGATAAGATTACTTCAATCTATTTTTAAAAGTCTTTTAATAATGGCATGATTAACGAGTAGACATAGTAAACAAATATAATAAACAATATATAGAAGATTATATTTATATTATATTTTGGAAGAATATTTGACTGTTATTTAGACAGTAAACAAAATTCATTTCGTAATGGAAAAATATGACCCCAAGGACAATACTATTAAATATATAGTAGTTATTTTTAATCCCTTTTATTCGTTAAAATACAGTATTTAAGTTAAAATATTGGGCTAAAGTATTCAAAGTATTCAAAGTTTCCCGTTAAACGTATTAAAGATAAATGATATGATTGATACTTTTATATGAAACGTACATGAAAGTAAAAGATTGATATTTTTAATGTTTTTAATGTTTAAGAAAACATTCACTTCATATTTCGTTACATCTCACGGTATACTTACAGAATGATTAATAATCTAACGTTTTAAATGCAATTGTATATCGTCACATTGTCATTATTAGACTGTGGATCTTTATGCAAAACAAAATCTTTGCATATGTACCTACAAAAAATTGAACCTAAGTAGGAATTCATTTTACTCTGTAAACATTATAATATGAATTTTACTTTTAGTATTTCTTTTATATTATTGCATACTGTGTGCATTTTGTGATTTCTTGCACATTCAAATTTCCTATGAACGCATAAAAATCCACAGTCTAGTCATTATGTTCATAGAATTAGACATGTAATGCGCGATATCTTATTGCATAATATTAGACAAATATAAAACGAATCTTGTTACGAATCTCGACAACATTAACTATTTTAATTAGACAAGAGATACTTTTCATAAATTACTCATGACTTTACAAATTGTATATATTAACGCGTCACTTTTAACACATTGTGATTGTGTTAGGAATTAGTATAAAAATATGTCGAGTAATATGCCATAGATCAATATATCTGCAACTTATCAATGCAAAGTTGTAATGTTATAGATAGTTTTATACGTATACTGTATTAATCTTTTTATTATATCTTTGCTAAAGTTATATAGGTATACCTAGGTACTGGTGCTTTTACAATTTTATTAATGGTATTTCATAATGTTAAAATTATATGTATTTATCTGATATAAAGAAGAAACGGAGATAGTTAAATAAATATATGGAATAGTTAGACAATGTGAATGTATAAAAGTGAGAAAATTTTAAACTCGCACTTGTTAAATGTTTTGTAAAGAAAAATACGGTGATAACAAGACGAAATTATACTTAAACTTTTAAAATCTCTAGAATGAGATATTGCTGGCTATTGAACTTGTTTGAAGGATGGACCTATGCAAGTAGTAAGAAATTATTGAATAAATAAACACGTTTGTTAAATAAAAGAATGTTGTTATTATTGTATTAGGTGTATTCCAACGTCTGGACTCTACTTGTAAATATGAAATACTTTAATCTTCACTGCAATTTAAGGGGGATTTCGGTGTAACAGGTTCAAAAAATCGATATTATTAGTCGTTTTAAATTCCATTTAAATTTATGCTATACACGCAAATAATTTGTTTATTACAAGTGGATCTCAAGTACAAATTATATATATTAGAAGCTTTGTTTGTTTCCTGAACTTAATCATTCTAAGTAGACAACTAATTAATAGATTCCTGTAAGCAAATACTGGAACTAAAAACCCTATAAATAAAGTATTAATAACAAGACTATATCAACAACAAATAATTTACAGAGAAATTCAATTGAAAAAAAAACTTTATTGATAATACAAACAAAAAGGCACTCCTTACAAAAAAAATCTAAAATATTAAAGATCATTTCCCACTGAATCTTCTTATTGTACAAAATGTATATTTTAATAACAATTCGTGATATTACATATTATTTATACGTCTATGTAATTTTATTTTCTCATATATTTATAGTTTCGCATTGTAATCCTCAAAATTGCATACAGTTTGAATATGTACAATACATACATGGTACTAAAAATAACTCAACCCTCAGCACCCTGCGGTCCTATGTAGAATGTGGCTTGACAATAGTATTGAATTAGAACATCTGAACCGCAGAGGGTTATCGAACCCTTTAATTCTTGTGCATAGTTCATTAAACATGTAACATTCTTTATTTAGATTTTTTAAGTCTCATTTCTATAGTACATACGATACAAATAATTATCTAGTTAATATCATACAGAACAGGGTACTTATCACCACTTTGAACAACTCTTAAACCAAGAATCGCATAAAACAATTACTTGCCTTTGAGTTCATCAAATATGAATCAACATTCAAGTTTTCCAGTACAGTAATTTCTATATAATTGTAAAGCAAGATAGATAAGTATAGTAACGTATGCCTTTTGGAATCATGCAAATTATGTACAAAACATTTATTTATACAATAAATAATTTAGAAGGTTGTCAAGTTAAGTGTTTCGTGCTGCATATGTTTAAATACTATGCGAGAAAGATTCACTTGCATCCATTTCTTTAATAATTTTTAGTTTTCAATAACAAAATTAATTTCTACTAAAGACAGTCTGCCAACAGTCTTCATGTGGCTTAATAAACTGCAAAATTCTGTTAATATACATCTTTTCGTTTTGTTATGGATATTTCACCGCCAGATAGTAATTATAATTTTACTACTGATTTACGTTTAATAGAGATTTGTTACAAAACTATAAAATATAATGTTCATTATATGTAACTTTTCTTTTTTCATTGATGCTAGGTAAAATTATGTGTAACGCTATCCAATTAATATATTACTATTTATATCTTTTCCAAGTTATATGAAAACCAACCCTGACAAGTATTAGACTTATTGTTTAAAAGCTTACAGGTTTCAATTTATCCAAGCGCGTAACGTGTAAGTAGAGCAAATTATATTATAAATAAATTATATTATTAATTAATTGAATTATATAATTTTTCTCTATTTACATTTGCAGAGAATTATTTGTACATTGAAATTTAAAGAAGCTATACCAAAATCAATAAATAATCGATGCAACTGTTAAATTTTCCTAATTAAAATTATTCTTCATAAACTCATAGTATTTAATTTGTTCAAGCACTTAATTTGTAGAGAAAAATTATAATATAATATAATTTCTCCTTATATGTGAGAAAATATTTATTTATTACACATAAAAATTCAGAGTCGCTAATAACCAAGAAAAAAAAAATTGAAGAAACTTCTGTATGTACAATTCAATAAATAATTACTATAATCGTTAAATTTTACTTTTACCTTCCAAATAAAAATGTTCATTCTTATCACATTGAAACTCAAATGATTAGGTGGATTCTTAATATTGTCAGACTGAATACAATTGTTCTTAAATGTATTATACTTATACCTTTTTTAATATTTTTATCATGCACAATAATTGAATCACAATCTAAATTGCAAGTAATAAATAAATTTCACAGTATTCCCCCTTCAATTACCAATACTTATTGTCAATCAAGCAAATAGATCTGTCCCTGTACTAGTTTCAATGTGGTAAGTTGGTATTTTACATGAAAACATATGTTTCACAATGTAAAACATGCGCCAAGAGTCTGGAAACAATTGAAAATAAATTAAATGTTCTGGTGATGAGCAATTTTAAAAGGTTCGTTAGAAAAATAGAGAAAACTGAAAAGTCATTACAACTTTACCATTACAAGTGCGAAGCAATCTAATTTGTCTACAATCAATATAAGCAATGATCGATACCCATCAGATTACCCTTGACACATTAAAAATATGAGAAATGTACATAACTCATGATTACTCAGCAGTTTCCTAATAAAAGGAAAAATAGAATTTGTATACAATATATTTCCTAATTTTACATTACTTTTAACACGTTGACAGCTATGCAGGAGTCATTGCCACTAATGCTTGTATTTTTAAGATTATTCTGATATAAATGGATTTTCGAAGATATAAAAATTACGGATAGTACTTTGCATGCCAGAGTATTCTTTTTAGAAATTTGTAAATTAAATATTTTTTGTGGTACAATACATGTTTGTTAGTATTCTCCTATAAAAGAATATAAAATTATTGTTCATTATATTATTCTTTTGGAAATTCGTTAAATTTTATTGTTTGTAAACAATCAACTGAAGTAATTCTGTACAAACAAGTTGGGACAGGAATTTATATTTTGTTGGAATATTTCTCGAATTTTATCAAAGTATTAAATGTTTGATTATATGCATATTCAAGACAACGTTTACATTATATATTAACAAGTTTTCATACAAAATTTGAATACTAAATGTTTTTTAGTTGAGAAATTGAAAAATATCTTAATGTGTTAATAACTTTCCAAGATACAGTTCAGTTCTAGCTATAAAACATATAAACAGAACTGGAAGAATACTCAATATATATAGAACTGTATTATTAATTACAAGGACTTTTTTTACACTTTTACAAAATAATAGAAAAGTTGAAATTGCAACAGCAATTTTAATTTTGAGATAGCCATGGTCCAGTGTTCACCAAGTTACCATGAAAATTTAATATAAATTTTACATAATATTAGCGAAAACGATTATTCTAAAGAGCTCCTGAAGAACTCCTTTTCTTAGCAATCAACATGTTAAAATTAGATCCTTTGTATTCGCACTAACACTTTAAGTCAATTGGATTGCACTATCTTTCATCTTTTTACTCTTCTTCTTCGAAGTCTTAACTTTCATAATAGTCTTCCCAGCCTTCCCCTTCACAGGGATAGTTTTCTCCTTCAACGACTTCATTTGTAACTTTACGTCAGCTTTCGATAGCTTTTTGCTATTCATGCTCCTTACGCTAAATTTGCTGTTCTTCTTAACTTTGGTAGAAGTTTGAATCGCTTGGCCGGGTCTTACACAAGACCCGGGCAGCTTATACTAGGCTGAAACTTTCACTTTTTTCTTCCTCTTCTTCTTCTTCTTGTCGTGGTGAAGCTCTTGCTTCTTGGCTATGCAAAAGCGACAATACCAGTCCTCGTTGTCTGCTGGTGGCACTTGCATGCCAACGCACACCCTGTATAATTGAAAATATTTGGATTAAGTATGAGGCAAGACCATGAATTGGTCCTCGCAGCAAAATATAGTTTAGGTTTTACTAAAGAATCAATTCATTATTACTTCGAAAGGCTATTAGCTACGAGTTTATCTACATTTTTGGCTTTATAATACTTCATAATATATATCCAAGCATAAAACTATGTGCCTGCTTCTTTACGAAACTAATAATCTTGAATTGTTCCAAATTAAACTCCAAATGACTATGTTAACCTGGGATTTTTATTGTTGGACTCACCAATGATACCATGCGTCACAGTCATCGCAACCAACCATGGGTGATCCATCATCCTGGTTCCCACAAGCAGGACATATCCAAATCTCGCGACCACCTTGTTCCTGAAATACTCATGCCACGATAAAAACACAATATATTTTTCTTTTATTATAATAATGGGCAACTCAACCCATCTTTTGTGTTATCAATACAATTCAGATTATAAAATTGTTTTGATGAGGTCAGAAAAAATTGTATCGAATTACAAAGAATGTATTAATAGAAATACTTCATGGACACATGATAAAAATGTTTATGCCTTGCACTTCGCAACCACATTTCATGTATTTCAGACTATTTCGATAGTGTAACTATGATGCATGATTGTAAAAATATGGATATGTAAGATGCTTTCAAAGAAATTCTATGAAAAAGTATGATCGAAGCGGTTGTAATGCATGAAGATATATGATCTATCGCTAGCACTATGAATATGAATGTCAGGAGAGGATTTGCATGTTTTGGCTTCCGGTGATAAAACATTTTCATTTGGCCCATAAGGAAACAATACTTTGCGATACATAGTTTGTTAAGTTTTTTAATGGTCATGAATTTCTTTTTATTGTTCGATTAACTTGAACAGAAACCAAGTTCAAAGAACCAAAACTAAAAAATTATTCTTTCCTCTGCTTTCATTTTTATTGAAATTGAATACTTCGCTAAACTTGGAAGTAAAGAGAGGAACTAATAATCAAAGCTTTTAGAAGTTTTACTTCAATAATTCTCCACCGTTACATAAATACACTCCCAGAAAAATTTAATTTAATTGCGCTTGAATTTAATTTAATTATGTATTCAAACCGATCAAAGTCGTTGCTGGTTAAATTGAAAGTAATGTGTATCTCGTATATAAATTATAAACAAACTTAAAGTTACATGCTGCAAATATTTAACGTTCTTGTATATGCATTCAGCTGTAACTATCGAATATCTAAATTAACAAACAGTTAAAATAAATCCATCCTTGACTATGGAATCATTAATTTTCTATGTACTTGTACAGTTATCAAAGTACATAACTATATTAT